CAAGAGGCTGTAGATATCAACATTCACAATAAATCGGATGCCTGAGACCAAACGTGGTGGAGGTATAGTAAAGTTGATTTAAGTGGCCGCTTCCTTAACATTTATATGGTGTAACGGATTTGAGGTTGGGCCCTTACTTTCTGCAAAGTCTTATTTTCAAAATTGTCGAACCAACACGTGGTTCAGACCCCCAAAAAGTCGACCATTTTGACGTTAATTTTGACCTGCGCGTGAGAAATTTGATGTAAAGGGGTAATTTTGTAACTAAAAATTAAAGATGTCTTGAGTTTCGCGCTGGAAGGACTTTATTTCTTTGTTACCATTGATCTTTGACAGCAGACCACGCGTGGTCTTTCGCCTGATAATCCACCACTTAGCGGTGGGCAACGAGAGTTTTCCCGTGGTCCTAAATACGAAAATTGGATCCCCTACGTGGTGGTTTATAAGCGCCCGGTGGCTTTTTAATAGCCGACCTTTTACCCAATTTTTTCCGGGAAAGCGCCGAAAATCGTGGCCTTTTTTATAGTGGCTTTACCAGTCCTCTTGTCCCAATGCACACTCTAGTCATGAGGCGTATAAAACAAGGCCCACAAACTAAAGTTCACCACATCACTAGATTAGGCTTCACCATTTTCAGAACCGTCAAAATGTGGGGAGCTCTTTACAGTCGACTTGTGCAAATGTTTAGCGTTAGGCGCGGAGAGAGAGGACTATAAAAAGGTTTATAGAGGTTCGCCTTCTGTACAAACCGACAACTCGGTCGGCGCTCGTAACCAAGCGGCCGCGGCACGAACAGCGGCGCAAAAACTAATGCAGTAGTGTTGTTGTGCAATCCAAATTGGTTTGAATATCCCGTATCCGCGTAACAACAACAAACTTCCGGACCGACAATGTCAGGAAATAAATGTGATAAACAACGTCCGGATGACCGGATCTACAAATACGTCAAAATTTTCGTGGAAACGAACACAAGACTTTACGTGAAAACAACATCAATAGGATGTCTCTTTTCTTTTACGTGACCTGACCCTTAATTACATGACATACGTAAGTTTCACAGACTTATTTACCAAATATACCTGTGTATTATCACTCAATAATAAAATATAAATTCTCAAAACGGGTATTAGTACAGAAAAAGGTATATAGTCCATCGACTTGTTGTACCCATTTTTTACAATATGTTTTATATATATATATATATATATATATATTATATATATATATAAAGATAATTAGTAAAAGCTGGAAGAGCCGTAAGCCAAAAGCCGGTTGACAAAGGATAAAAGCCATAGCCCAAAGTGGTTCTTAAAGGGTAAGCCACGTGGGGATGAAAATTGAAGTTATA